AGGCTCCAGTGTCACCTCCTCTGTGCAGCCTTCCCTGATACCCTCTTTTCTGTGTTCCCACTGCACTTTGTTCAGCATCTATTGGAGCACTGATCTCCAGCTATGTCAGGGAACAACAGCTGTAAAATACAGAAATCCTTTCACACTAGCTCAAGGGAAAGGAACACCTTGCAAGACTCTAACAGGCAAACTTGGGCAAGGGAACCAAATGAGGGATAATTAGGAAAAATGGAAAATGGAGTTAGAGAAACCAGATCCCACTTTTCTGGCTCTCAGAAACCCAGTGGTCCCTATTTTTTTTATTTATGTTTTTCACCATAATTCATTGTCAAGTTGGCTAACATACAGTGTGTACAGTGTGCTCTTGGTTTTTGGGGATAGATTCTCATGATTCATTACTTACACACAACACCCAGTGCTCATCCCAACAAGTGCCCTCCTCAATGCCCATCCCCTATTTACCCCTCTCCCCTGCCCCCCCATCAACCCTATCCAAAATCTGTAAAGAATTTACCAAATTCAACACCCGAAAAACAAATCACCCAGTGAAGAAATATGCAGAAGACATGAATAGACACTTTTCCAAAGAAGACATCCAGAAACCCAGTGCTCCTTCTAATCAGCCCCAGGAACTCTCTTATCTCTACTTCTCTCACTCACAACCAGCTTTCTCTTTTTGCTCATGACCTATCATGGTAGGCTACTGAGAGCCCACCACCAGCTGATTAGTTACTGCATCTCTTGGTTTAAGTCTTGAGAGAGAATTGGGTTTCTCGCCAGCCAACTGAATGTAGGGAGGAGACATCACATGGTACAAATATGGTACCTAGACCTGCCTCTCGGCAGGGCCTGTAAGTTGGGGAATCCTAAGAGTGAGTGACTGTGAGCATTGCAGGCACCCCCAGAACATGCTCTCTTATTAACTCTCTCCCCTGGTCCCTAGATTATGAACACCATGGGACAATGGAGGATAGTACTTGGGTCAAAATGTTTGAAGGGGAGGGTTTGGATCAAATGCTGGATTTGATGGTTCTCTAAATTCACCTTGCAAGTATTTGAGAAATAAATGTCAGTCTCTGAGAATCAAGAGAAAGGAGTCGAATCTAGCTGGGTTCGTTCCCACACCTGAAATGCTCGGCTGGGAGAATTTACCCGCATCTTGCCATAACTGGTATGGTGTGGGAGTATGCATTGTACCCTGATTAAAGCATAATTAGCAAGCAGCAGGAATCACACTCTCTGAGAGAGCTCATCCTACTTCCTGTTTAACTTGCGTAATTACCCACATCACAGACACTGAAATGACATGGATAATAGACACTCAGAATGGATAAAGCCAGAGAGGACCTTGGAAATCATTAATCCTCTCATTTTATGAAGGTGGAAAATGAAGCCCAAGGGAAGAACAAGTGCTTTCAAGAGCCAAGACCAAACCCAGGTGTCCCACCCCTGAAATCAGCCCTGCTTCTGTAGCATCATACTGCAGTGAGGGCAGCATCACCCAACCCAAGTGAAACCAGTTCCTTTGCAGCTACTGGAACTCCAGGCATGGCCAACACTGTTGCCTTCACGCAGCTTTCCCAGCCCAGTCCCTGATTGTTTCCAGAGTACAAAATGCAATTTTAGTAAAACTGATTGCTGCTCCCTACAGCTGTTCATTTCTTGGCTTTCCCCCCACCTCCCCTCTTGTTCTGCCCACATTCCAGAACAGGGCCTTAACCATGATAAAAGGCTTGAGCAGCAGGAAGGAGGAACCGAAGGGGCAATGGGAATTCCTGCTGGGTCATTAGTGGTTCCCAGCCACTGGCTGGATTTAGAACATACCTTTAAGTGTCAGGGTGGAAATAACACAAACACCATGAAGACAGTTCCCTTTTTGCAATTACTGGGACTAGCCATGCCACAAAATGGAAGGGTCATGCTCCCTGAACTCATTTTAGATTAGTTGTTTGAAACCTGGGTAACATCTCTTTGAGGGGAAAAGGGATTCTATGATGGATTCCCAGTCTAGTCTATTTAACTGATACTATAATTGACCTCTTACTCCCAGAGCCTGGAAACCAGAATCATTAAGGTCCAGGGAGGGGAAGTTTCCATGTCCATGGTGTCCTTTGCTTCCTCCTATCCCTCCTCCAAATCCTCCCAATGTCTCTGAGCCCCCAAGCTTCCCCAGATACTGGAATACTCCAGGTTTTGACAGCTGCCAGCCTTCCCTTTGGTCTCTCAGGGAAGCTGCTATCAACCCAGATTTTGGAGTAATGGGTAATCTGCTAGAACTAATCCACATACATGTGTGAATGACTAACAGTCCCTGAACCAGTGGCTCTGACATGTCAGTTGGCTTATGAAAATGCAAACTCGCAGACCCAACCCTAGATGTGTGGATTGAGCAAGGGCTAGATTGGAGAACAGAGAATTTGTGTTTTTTAACAGTAGTTCAACTGATTCTAATGTTGGTGGTATAGATACCATGGATAAATACTAGAACAGGTGAAGTGGCAGGCATTTATAATTCCATGGTGATTTGCTCTTTACTGGGCAGGAAGAGTCACACAGAACAGAATCCAGGATTTGCAGGTAAAAAAGATAAAGACAAAAGCAAGCTACTACCTGGGTGAATTATCTCTGTGCTTCCATTTCATCTGCTGTGATATGACATGGCTCAGCCATGAGAAAACTTGGACACTACAACAAGGAGAGGATTTGTTGTAGATTTCAAAAAAGGACAAGTTCTTGTCCGTTTGGCCCCCACCTACCCATAACAAAGTACCCTCACTTGTGGTATTCAACCCCCCTCATGACATACAGTATCACGGAGAGATTAAAAGCCCAGGTTGTAATGCTCAACACCATAAGTCATTCAGTAAATGCACAGCAAACCCAATGAGATACCCCTGCACATCCACTCAGTTGACCAAAATCAAAAAAAGGAAGAAACAAGTATTGGTGAGGAGGCAGAGAATTCGGAACTCCTGTACATCGCTAGTGGAAATGTAAAATTGTACAGCCACTATGGAAAATGGTTTGGCAATTCCTCAAAAAGTTAAACATAGAGTCACCATATGACCCACCAATTCTACTCTGAAGTATATACCCAAAAGAATTGAAAGCAGGGACTCAAACAGATACTTGTACATGAATGTTCATAGCAGCATTATTCGCAGTAGCCTAGCCAAACAACCTAGAAACAACCTAAATGTCCACTAACTAATAGATGGATAAACACATTCTGGTCTATTCATACAACAGAATATTATTCAGCCATTAAAAGGAATGAAGTACAGATATATGCTACAACATGGATGAACCCGGAAAACATGAGACTAAGTAAAAGAAACCAGACACAAAAAGTCACGTATTGTGAGATTTCATTTCTATGAAATGTCCCGAATACCTAAATTTATAGAGACAGAAAGCAGATTAACGGCCAGTAGCAGGTAGGGGAATGGAGAACTGGGGAGTGACTGCTAATGGGTACAGTCTCCTTTTGCAGTGATGAAAATACCTTGGGACTAGAAAGAGGTGATTATTGCACAACATTGTGACTATAATAAGTGCCACTGAATTGTACACTTTAAAATGTTAATGGTTATTTTCATGTTTTGCAAATTTTACCTATTAAAAAAAAAAGAGGGGTGTAACCAAACTTCCTGGGTTCAAAGCCCAGTACTGCTACATGATCTTGAGCAAACTCTGTGCCTGATTCCTGTAAAGGGGAAAATCTCTAAAGGCAGGACAATAAATATGTGCCATGATTTCATCACACAAACCCTACCCACTATTATTCAGGCAAACCAAGGCCAGGCAGGTTAGGGGCTTGTTCAAGTTCACATAACAGGTTCAGAAGTTAACTCAGAGTTGGTACCCAGCTCTTTTTGGACTCTAAGTCCATGCTCTTCCCCTGTTGACCATCCAATTTGATCCCTCACCAGGAACCTTGATACCAAGACCCCAGTCCCTGACAGCAGTGCAACTTTTTCCCAGTGATTCCAAGCATGGTGTACCTACAAGGCAGAAATGATAGAGCAACAACTATTTTTGCTTCTTCCCAGCTGAAAGCCTTGGCCATCCTAAGAGGACTTTACCCACCAGCAGCTTGGCAACGACTGAGCCAGTGGAGAATTTTCCCCTCTCGATTCCCGTGACAATCAAGTTTTAGTCACAGAATGTCCTGTCTTGATTTACCTTGGAAATAGGAGAAATCATCACTATCTTATTGCAATCAGTAGGGTCACCCAGAGGAATCTGTTCCAGAAGGTGGGGGAGTGGACACTCAGCTGTTCCCTGGGTCTTTGGGTTAAGTCTTTAGACTACTCCCAGTATGCACTCTCCTTTTCCCCAGTACAGTGTAAGATCACAGGTACTTTCTATATCTGGTTCAATTCTTATGTTTTCAAGAATAATCTAGCTTACTCACATTCCCCAAAATCCACTTTCCTTCTTTAAGTAGAGAGAAATAAGTCTATACCCATCTATGTCTAGAAATCTTTCTTGATTCCATTGTTTTCCTCAAACAGCACAGCCAATGGGAGTCCTAGGAAAAACTCTGGGATACTTGCCAAGAATTGGGCCCACTGGATATTCAATATTGAATCAGACCATCACAAGCAGAAGATAAGGAATATCACCCCACAGGATATATCTAAATCCCAGGCTCTTGCCTTCTGGACACAGAATAACCTAAGTAACCTGGCCTCCCTAAGCCTTCCCTCCTCGCCCATCAGTTTCCACAGCCCACCCCAGCTTCCTCCAGGACTGTTCCAGGCAGCAGATCCAATCTGGCAGGTGTGAGATTCTATTAGCCCTTTCTTTATGGCTACCAATGTTTGCACCTCCAGAAAACCAAATCTGAAGCCCCAGGGTGGCCACCCAGAGTGACAGTCCCCCAGAAGAAGTAGGCCAACCAGAAGGATATTGGAGGAGGTCTTAAGATCACTTTGACACCGCTGGCAGTATCCATTCATTGAACTTATCAGTACCTTCCCTCCTTCATTCCCAAGGTCGCTGGATTGAAGATCATGGAGTCATTCACAACATGATGTTTAACACAGAGACACGCTGGAAGTACTCCTTCAAGACCACACAGAATAAGACTGAATGGTGGGACAATGGTGTTCTCCCCCTCTGGATCACAGCCCAGAGACAGGTACTTTCAGAAACCCTGGTTTGGCTTCCAGGGACATCGCATCTCATTCCTAAGCATGGGGGACGGGGGTTAGAAGCTATGACCCCGAGTAAGTGACTTAACTTCTCTAAGCATGTTTCCCTAAATGTGTAATGGGAATAATGATGATGTGCTTATTTAATAGATTTTACATAAGTATTAATTGAAATATGCATTTAGCCATTATTTATGGATAAGTCTCTACGAGGGCAGAGTCTGGCGTAATCACAATTGTACCTCCAGGGCTCACCATAGGGCTCTGTCACATTTTTTTAACCCAGCAGCACTTTCATAAATGTCTGTTTATACACTTGTCTCAGACTTAACCATAAAAGCCCTTAGGAATGAAGTTGACCATTTAATGAATCTTCAGACCACGGAAAGTTCTTAAGATAACATTCACTCGAAAGGATTCTGGTAGCCATTTATTATTGCTTCAAAAAGGCAGAAATCAGAGGTCTGTGTTTAAGTCCTAGCCCAAAACCTTTTGTCAGCTTTGTGTTTTCTTTTTTTTTTTTTTTTAATTTTTTTTTCAACGTTTTTTATTTATTTTTGGGACAGAGAGAGACAGAGCATGAACGGGGGAGGGGCAGAGAGAGAGGGAGACACAGAATCGGAAACAGGCTCCGGGCTC